CTAGCTCGGGTTAAGCTACGTAGTTCTAGTAACCTTAAGATCTTTAATATATTTATTCTGTTCTTATATCTCGAGGTTTCCTCGCGTCTCTCCCGCGCGGAATGCTCGGGGGACCGCGTAGATAAGTACTTAAAAAGATAGTTTCGAGAGTCTAGCTAAAGGTGCGATTTTCGTTATCTATTCGTTATTTAATTCTACTTTTGCCTTTATAGCGCTATCTTTTATAGAGAGCTTAACCTTCCCGTACTTATCGACGCTCGCGGCGAGGACGTCGGGGTTTCTAATCTCCCTAACTATCTCTACTATACTCTTTGCCTTTATCCTAGTAATGTCCTCCTAGTCTTTTATATATATTATTACTATAGGCTTAGTAGTCGGCTAGGGGGTATTAGGGCTAGGAAAAGGTCTTAAGGCCTTCGGTCCTAAGGCTATACTCGAGTAGGTAGGCTTAGTGTTTTTATTAGTCTCCTAGAGAAAAAGGTATATTTGCTTTATAGTGTAGTTAATACCCTAAAGGGTTTCCTAGAGAACTTGTTAAGATTCGAGGTAGGTCTTCTAGTATTTCGTAATAGTATATACGAGTGTGCTAATAAGGGTGCTTATCGACGCTATTACCTCCTTATATTATAGTAATATCGTAGGGTCTTTCTTAAGTCCTTCTACGGACTTAATTAGGTTAGTAATATAAAGCGGGATCCCGTCTTCTCCTACCGCCTTCGGGGCGGGTACGGTGTTCGGGGGTGTTATCGCGTACGCGGCGGCGCGGCGGCGCGGGAGTCCTCGGTCGCGAAGGTACTTCTCGTCGTAAAGGTGCTTCTCGTCGTAAAGGTGCTTCTCGTCGTAAAGGTACTTCTCGTCGTAAAGGTGCTTCTCGTCGTAAAGGTGCTTCTCGTCGTAAAGGTTGCGTAGTAGGATAGTTACGAGCGTCTAAGGGAATAAAACAGTTATAACCGTAGTTCCTATAGTTGCGGTTCTTATACGTCTACCGGCTAGTAATTGCCTCTAAGTAATTGCTATCGATTCGCATGCCCTCTTAATTCTACGGTAGGCTAGTAAGCTATATAGTTATAGTAGTTCGCTATATTGCTAGAGCTAGTATTAAGGGAACAACTAGTATAGGCTCTAGGTCTATATCTACTACTATACGTAGTTCCTTCCTTCCGGCCTTATAGAACAGCTCTAATTGTTATATAATACTGCTCT